CGGGGCCTACCCTCAGACAGCAGAGAGCTGCTTTAACCAATCACAACAGGTAACAGCAACCAGTACCGGTCGCTCGTGTACATCAGAGTTATCTTTCATAAGACGATAATCAATAAAACGATTTATATAAAGTGGATCCAGAAGTTGTAGCCCGTCTCTGCCTACAATATTTTGATATTTTTCACCCTGTTGGTGGTTTTACTGAGCAGATGCCACTTTTGTCATACGTTTCTTTTTAAAACATGTTTAGACTGTTCAGAAAACAAATCCAGGCTCTGTCACGTTTGATAGTTGTAATTAAACTTTGTAGGTGGGGAAGGTCAGAAAAGGATCTGATCATTTTGTTTTTCCCTCATTTACAGTGACGGATATATGGCTCTGGTTAAATTTTATCTCTTTGCAACAATTTTCACAAGAAAACAGAACAGTTAAAAGCAGGGCTTGTGTTGACCGGACAGTTCCCGTATTTGACAGTTTATTTTGACGGAGAAAGAATAGAAAGAATTACCCCGATGCATGCAGACGAACTGACATTTTATTCGCACATCGCAGATGTAGCTAAATCACTCAAGAAAAGATTCCCATCTGAACATCTGAGCTGGACACCGCTCAGCGCCGCTCGCTGTCAGCGCTTATGTACGGTGCACAGCGAGCTGAAGATGTGGAGAGGGGCATGGAACGCGTCGCAGAACCAGAGCGCATGCAGGAAGATTCCTCCGACTGAAGCAAGCGTTTTCCAAACCCTGTCTTTCAGAGAGACTTGTCACTTAGAAAATGTTCCTTGATTATGAAACTTTGGCTGAATAGCGCTTGTTCCTGTCTCCAATGTGGCGACACATCCAGGAGCCGTCTGAGGAGAATCCCAGAATCTCACATCCTCTTCAGCTCAGAAAGCGCCTATATGATTACGCACAAGCGTGACGCATCAACCCGGTCTCACAATAAGACCGGGTTGGACCCGTTCAGGTTTACGCAGACAATTGTTACATTTAGAATTGGCATACAGATATAAAATTAATGCAGTAAAATATAAAGCTTTTTATTTAAATATCCATTCATTATTTTACAAGCACAGAGAGCAACATCAGATGGATGGAAGAGCCGCATGAGGCTCCAGAGCCGCGGGTTGCCGACCCCTGCCCCAGACACTTGGGCCAGCTCCTCCGGGGGAATCCCAAGGCGTTCCCTGGCCAGGTGAGAGACATAGTCCCTCCAACGTGTCCTGGGTCTACATTTAGGCCTCCTCCTGGTTGGACATGCCCGGAAAACCTCTCCAGCGAGGCATCCAGAAGGCATCCTGACCAGATGCTCGAGCCACCTCAACTGGCTCGTCTCGATGTTGAGGAGCAGCGAATCTACTTCGAGCCCCTCCCGGATGACCGAGCTTCTCACCCTATCTCTAAGGGAGAGCCCAGCCTTTCTGCGGAGAAAAAGCCGTTCTTTCTGTCATTTTTTTTTCCTATGCGTGTTTCACACAGATGCACACAAATTACCTTCTCCGCGAGACAGAACAGCTTTGGGGTAGTGATGTGCCGTTCACGAATGAATCCAATCTTTTGAACGAGATTTCAAAGTGAATGATGAAAGCCAAGTCCCTGTAGAGAGCCGTTCATCTTGTCTTCCGGTAACAAACCTCCCCGGAAGTCAGGAAACTGCACCTGCTCATACCCCACCCACTGCCCTGACGGACGCAGGAGGAACGCTACCCAACACCGTGCGCCCTCACGGACAGGGGAGGAACACGTTGCTCTTAATACCACACACACCCCACCCCGCTCTCTTGGCTTCACTTCGTTCAAAGGAGCCAGTCTTTTGAACGGCTCTTTGTGGTAAACGACTGACTAATGAACGGCTCACATGAAAAAAACATAAGTCCTATCACTAATCTCTGCCTCCACCTGGACAATCATGTTTGTAAAGTAAAAACCAAATATGTCCTTTTCGCTGCCTCTTACAGTATTTGCTGGTCTCAGATAACATTTCACTATCATTTCATTCAGTGGGAACATTTTTGTTTTCACTTTCCAAATCTTATCAACAGTGTGGTGCAGGAAACTCTATTTATGGACAGAAACAAATCATGTAAAAGACCACAGCTCAACTGAAAGTTCAGCAGAATGAGTAAACGCGTGCAGCTGTGAGGTGGCGGTTCAGAAACGCAACACGGAGCGGACGCCTCCTTCTGTATCTGACTGTGTCAGAGCTGCTGATTAATACATCTCTATTAAACAGCACTGCAGCACAGACACACAAACTAGGTGTGTGTGTGTGTGTGAGGAAGGAGGGGGGTTACAAAGTGAGTAAATAATCAGTCCCATGTTGCCCTGCATCACACAGCACATATAGAAATACTCTAATGAGAAAGTGATGCCTGCTGGTAAGAAAAGGGCAGCAGAGAAATTTCACCTTGTTCACTATCGATTGTGTGGGGTAGATCATTTAAACAATTCAATTACAGCAAAAGCCTTTGTAGCACCAAATTGATCCGCCTTTCTTCTGCTGTTTGTCTGGTTTACATCTTCAGTACATGTGCTCCAGAGTGAGGCGTGAGCTTCCTGTCGTACCAGTGGCGCGCCGCTTTCTGCTAAACTGCCTGAGCCGGAAATCATGTCTTACAAAAACTCCCGTCGTCTGACACGCGCCATTTGTATTCTCGGGCATCCACCTGCTCAGCCTAGAAGATCGTAACTGGATGTTGTTGGCCCATTTCCAGTCCCTGACGCATCGCGGTTGCCTTCTAAGCATTAAAGAGCTTTGCTGGAATGCACCAGGAATATTCTATTTAGTTGTCTTTCGCTGTATCGGATGGCTGAAATACGAGGAAACAATCTCACACAAAAGTGTTTAGCATTGTGTTTTGTATCCTTAAAAGTGTTGCGGCTTTCCTGGAGAAGGGCTATTTGACCCCAGGGACTTTTCCAGGTTTTATTTCCCCCAAACTGGTGATATCAGATCTACGTTTGTATGATATGAGAGCTGCCCATTCCTCTGCTGACGCTCTCCTCTCCCCGTTATTAAGGAGCATGAAGAGGCGTTTGAATCCTGGTTCCAGGGCCTCCCTCTCTGCAGCTAGAGCAGGAAAAGAAATATGGACCCATGGAACAATATTTCACTGGCACCAGGTTGACATTGATGGATAGAGGATCATTAGACATTTGCCAGTTTGCTTGGGCATGGGGTTATTTTTAGCAATAATGTATAGGAGAGGGAGCAGGGAGTGGAGGAGGGCTTCGGTACCATCTCAGAGGCCCATGGATTCCTTTTTGGTGGAGTTGTGAACAAGTCTGAAAGCAAAATGTGGGTGGTGGAAAACACAAACAGGCATATTACAGTCTATCACATCAAAGGCTCCGCTCTGCGCACTCAGCTTAATATTTAGACTGTTTATTCATGACTGTCAGCACCCTTTTTCCACCATAAATCTTTTTGGCATCTTCTGCAACCATTCTGAGTTCTTAGTTTTAGTGTTTTTCTACAATTATTAGCTGTTTGTTCACAGTTAAGGCTTTCTAAGTGGAAATTTAAAGAAATGTTAATAATAATAATAATAATAATAATAATAATAATAATAGTAATAATAATAAATGTTAAATAATAATGTGCCTGTTTTGGAGCATTTGAGTAGAATATTGCACTAGTAGCTGTAAAGGTTGCAGGTTCCTGGGCTAGTTCAAACAAGTCAAAGGCAAAATGGACAGCTGACATCTTAAATTCAAAACTCAAAACGCAGTTTTTAGTCTAATTTCAGCTCTTCAGAATTATTTAGCAGTTTTGCAAGATAAATTAGCACAAAGAGTAGCTAGCACTTAATACGATTCTCTAAAAGCACATAAACTAATGGTGTATGGGTTTATATGCTTGTGTTCACATAGAATTTTTAACAATGTATTTTTTTTTATATTGTAATGATACTACTAGATGTCAGCTCATCAGTCTGGTCAAAACTGAAAGCCATCTCTCTAAACTGAGGCTACTGAATGACAGCTTTTTGCCATTACTCCGTCAAACAGTAAATTTACCCATAAGCCTTTATAACCAGAAATATGAAATATGTTTGATATGACTGATATTGTCGACTCGTAATGTCTCTTACCAATATTTCAATTTTCAACATTTTCTTTGCAAAAGGACAACAACAGTGATTAAGTGTGACTGAAGTGTGTGTGTGTGTGTGTGTGTGTGTGTGTGTGTGTGTGTGTGTGTGTGTGTGTGTGTGTGTGTGTGTGTGTGCGTGTGTGCGCGTGTCTGTGTGTGTGTGTGTGTGTGTGTGTGTGTGTGTGTGTGTGTGTGCGTGTGTGTGTGTGTGTGTGTGTGTGTTAAAGATCTTGATATAAGAAAAGCAAGCCTTGGGTGAAGGGTCTTGTTTTTGTCAATTATTAGGTTTGTGATACTTCCATCTGGACACTTTAAAGCATGAAGTGGTTTGATGTAAATTGGCAACCATTGTCTACAAGTTTATTTCAAAATGTGGCAATAAATTTTTTGTTTTCACTTTTATTTTTTACTCATGGAGAATTTTGACTTTGATAAATATGTATAAATGCCTTTAAATCAACCTGTGGGCCCAGTGTGCTACCTTGTGACGATGCATCTGTCATGTAACACAGCATATCATCTGCAAAAAAGTAGAGCCAGACAAGAGCTTGGCTTGTCTTGCTTGTATTGCAACATGTGTCTGACTTCCTGCAACTATGTTGAATGTAAATATTTTCCACATGTTGCAAGATTCTTTCAGATCAGAAAACATTTGTAGCTTAGTTAGCATACATGGCCAAAATGCAACAAAATTCTCTCAACATGTGAAATACTTGTCACTTAATGTAGAAGACAATTTAAAAACAAAATCCTAATTTAAAATAATGTTTTCATTTTTTTCTTAACTTTCTTTTCTTGTAAAATATTTAAAATTCCAAATAAGGAAAGACAATCGTCATTTCAGTTGACTGATTCACTCAGAATGGTCACCATCCATTGACTCAGGTCTTTCTCTTTCTTTTCAGTGATGGTTCTGCTAATTGTGACGATGCGCCGCAGGAGGAAGCAGCCTCTTATTCTTGATGAGGAGAGGGACATCAGGGAGAACATTGTCCGTTATGATGACGAGGGAGGAGGAGAGGAAGACACGGAGGCCTTTGACATGGTCACCCTACGCAACCTCAACATCGTCCGAGATCCTAGTGTACGGCGGGACGTCACACCAGATACTCCCACATTTTTTCATTACACCTCAGTGTCTCGCCCACCCTACAAGTCCCTGCCGGAGAACGTGGTGTTTCGGGAGTTTATTTGGGAGCGGTTGAAGGATGCCGACGTGGACCCAACAGCACCTCCGTACGACTCTCTGCAGACGTATGCTTTTGAAGGCAGCGGCTCTGTGGCCGAGTCACTAAGCTCTCTGGAGTCTCTAAGTACAGACTCGGATCAGAACTACGACTATCTGAGCAATTGGGGACCACGCTTTAAAAAGCTGGCCGATCTTTATGGCAACAGTGACAGCAGCGGCGTATTCTCATAGCCCACGAAGCATTCCTCCTAAACTCTAAAACATCCAAGTAATATATTGTCAAGGAAAACCATTTTGTCCGCCTTAGTGCATCGGAGGAAAGAGATTCAAAGACAACACAAGAGATTGAGCTAAAAACTCTTTGACTTCAAAGATTTTTGGTTTGTTTACCTGCCTGTATGGATTTTCAAAAGCGTGCTATGGCGAGTTTTGACACAGACTTCAAAAAGTGGCTCGACTGAGGAGGAAGCCTTGTGTGCAAAAGACATTAAAGGTTTCACATTTGGGCTCGATTCCAGCCGTTGACTGCAAAATGCATCACATGTTGAAGCGGTATTTTTTTTGTGTGTGTGTGAGTGTGTGTGTTTTTTTTAGTGACGAGGCACCTGTCCTTTCACTCCAGTGATGGGCACAGGCCCAACGCTGCTGCTTTGATGCATTCCTTTGCAATCTTTGTGCTAAAAAAACATAAAAGTTTCTCATGAAATGCTGTCCCCCTGGCAGCTAATTGGTGGTCACTCGGCTGCTCGTATTAAATATGAGAACATTTTTTTCCTTTCTCTGCCTTTTCAGAACTATGGTAATAGGGGCTGTTTTTTCTAAACTTTTACATCCAGAGCCACATTACCCTCGGACTCGGTCATGCCTCCTAACTCTACACATGGTGCAGTTTAAACAAGTTGTTTATGTGCTAAGGAAGTGATTTGAATCATAAAAAATGGTTTTCTGTATCTACAAGGTGAAACAGGATGATGTCTCTTCTCCTAACAATACAGTTTGCAGGTGTTGCGATGTAGTACGTGTCTTGGTCTCTTTCTACTTCTGACTTTCTATTTTCTCAGCTGTTGGGGTTTCGTTGTCCTGTTTTTTTTACGAGGTCAGTGGCTCATCGAGAAGCTGCACCAATGGACTCCTTCCTGTGGTGTTTGACATTCACCCAGACTTGACAGTTTAAAAAAAAAGTTTTTAAGATGGCAGTTATTTCCAAGCTGAAGTTGCGGTGTGTAAGTAAGTTAATTTTGCTTCTGTAGTTTGCTAATTCCAGCATATATTGTCATTTAAAATTCAATTTTTTTTAAAAACTGTATGGTTTGAATATTGACGGTAAAAGGACACCCTGTATGATACTCATGTTGTGGCAAAATTTTGTTACAGTTGGGTGCAACCAATAAGTATTATTTATTTTAAAGAGGCAGAACTGTGCAAACAATGTTTTTATCCTTTTTGCTGAAAATAAAATGACATTCAGTTACTTCGAAGGCTGAATTCCTTTTTCCTAGATATTTGAACATAAACGGAGACAAGTAAGTGCAAACATGTAATAATTACTGACTGTAAAACTGGTAGTACATTCTGTGAAGAAGAGGAGTGGGAAGAAAGGATGTTTTATTTCTGATGAGGCTCTTGGAGTTGAAAGGCCTGATGGAGACAAAGCGTTCACGCTCCACCGGGGTTCGTGTGATGACTACAAGACTCATTTTCAGTCATTTGAGGAGTTTTTTGCAAATTAATAGCAGTGTGCAGTCAAAAGAAGTTCCATTATATGTGTGTTTAAGAACCAAAACGCCTGTGACAAATCATTACCTTTTGGGGGGGTTACGCTTTTTTTCATTCATGACTTCATTTTACATTCTGAAGGGAAGAATCACAGGTACAACATCAAAATAAGACGGAGACGCAAAGGTTTGATTGAAGAATTGTGTTTAATCGAGTACTTGGGTTGTACACGATGCAACATTTATCTTGGTAACTCACTGAAGTCTTCACAGTGACCTTTAAAAGGGCTAAATCCAGTCCCCAAAGAACATCAGTGACAATTTTCACAATGTCTCAGAACGTCCCTGAGTGTCCTGAAGTCCGAGGACTTTGCTCTTATCTTGCTGGAATTTTTTATTTTGTGCACAAAAATAAAATGTCAAACAAGAATTTCCTTTAAAAATAGTCGTTGAGTCATATTGTGTATCTGACCTTTGTCTCAAATCCATCTTATCCGGGCTATCCACCTGATGCATAAGCAGAGTGTATCATAACACGTTTTCTCCGCAAACTCAGTGAGTGTCCTTTCCCACCGGGTGCGTTTCAGACGAGAAACGGCAGCTAAAGCGTTCCATGCAGCTGGTTCTGCATGCTCCCCAATTCACCGGAGAATTTCAAGATCATGTGTGATTGCATCAGCACACGCGAGAACAAAGATGGAGAAAGATGGTAGCATGGATCCAAATGGTCAGTTTTTTAGTTCTGTTTATCTCGGCTATGAAGAGTTCACAGGTAATGACGTATTTTTTGTTAAGAAACTGGAAATTGGGCAGGTGACTTTTTTATTTTAAAGGTTTCCAGATGGTTTACTCTGCTTTTATGTTTGATTTCCTGTGTGCCTCGATCTGAACTGCTTAGCAGAACGTGTTCTGGAAATTCATGCTTCAATAATTTGACTAGACGGTAAATGCCTTGTGCCTTTGCTGAGACCTTTGAGACAAAGGTCAAAAAGGCAATATGACTCAACGACTATTTTTAAATGAAATTCTTGTTTGAGTGCCTTGTGGTTTTATCTTGAGAGACGCTATATGATTTTTTTTTCTTAATCAGTCTGTGATAAATCAGGTTAATCTTTTTCTCAAATAAGTATCCAAAGTAAAGTTTGTGAGGGTCCCAAATTTCTTTTTCGAGCATCTCAGACTCTCTGTCACATCATTAAAATCTTGAAAAAGCTTTCATTATCTGCAATTTTTATTTCTCAAAATAGTTAGAATTTTTTTTTCTCTAACCTGTCTCAAACTCTTCTTGTATGTTCATGCATTAGTAACATGAAACAATTTTGAGAGTAGATTGGAAGAAAATTGTGACAATATATGTTTGCAATTACATCATAAGTCCCATCTGACCCAGCCATTCATAAAATGTACCCACGAGTCCGAGCTCCTTCAAAGGAATCTCCTACCATCTTTACGCAGATGACATCCAACTGTACATCTCCTTTAAGCCCCATGAGATGTCTAAGCTGCAGCTGTTACACACCTGCTTAGACTCCATTAAAACCTGGATGGCTGGGAGCTTTCTACAGCTGAATGAAGATAAGACTGAGATCCTCATCTGTGCCCCAGACAAGCTGGTTCTCAAAGTCAGAGACTCTGGTCAGCTTTCTTCTCACATCAATCCCTCTGTCAGGAATCTTGGTGTGACCTTTGACCCAGCTCTCACCCTGGATTCTCATGTCATTTCTCTTGTTCGTTCTTCCTTCTTCCATCTCAGGAACATTGCTTAGCTGAGTCCCATTCTGTCCCGCTCTAAACTTGAGACAGTTATCCACACCTTCATCTCCTCACACTTAGACTACTGCAACTTGTTTTTCACATGTCTGAGCAAAACATCCCTGTGTCATGTTCTGCGTCCTGCCCTTATGTGTCTCCTTGTGTTCCCCAGCCCACTCCAGGTTTTCTCCTTAGGTGCTCCCCTTAGGTTTCTGTGCCCCTTCACAGTGGTGTGAAAAACTATTTGCCCCCTTCCTGATTTCTTATTCTTTTCCATGCTTGTCACACAAAATGTTTCTGATCATCAAACACATTTAACCATTAGTCAAAGATAACACAAGTAAACACAAAATGCAGTTTTGAAATGATGGTTTTTATTATTTAGGGAGAGAAAATCCAAGCCTACATTGCCCCGTGTGTAAAAGTAATTGCCCCCCTTGTTAAGAAATAACCCAACTATGGTGTTTCACACCTGAGTTCAATTTCTGTAGCCACCCCACATGCCTGATTACTGCCACACCTGTTTCAATCAAGAAATCACTTAAATATGAGCTGCCTGACACAGAGAAGTAGACCAAAAGCACCTCAAAAGCTAGACATCATGCCAAGATCCAAAGAAATTAAAGAATAAATGAGAACAAAAGTAATTGAGATCTATCAGTCTGGTGAAGGTTGTAAAGCCATTTCCAAAGCTTTGGGACTCCAGCGAACCACAGTGAGAGCCATTATCCACAAATGGCAACAACATGGAACAGTGGTGAACCTTCCCAGGAGTGGGCGGCCGACCAAAATTACCCCAAGAGTGCAGAGACAACTCATCCGAGAGGTCACAAAAGACCCCAGGACAACTTCTAAAGAGTTCTTTAGAAGGCCTCACTTGCCTCAATTAAGGTCAGTGTTCACGATTCCACCATAAGAAAGAGACTGGGCAGAAATGGCCTGCATGGCAGATTTCCAAGACGCAAACCACTGTTAAGCAAAAAGAACATTATAGCTCGTCTCAATTTTGCTAAGAAACATCTCAATGATTGCCAAGACTTTTGGGAAAATACCTTGTGGACTGATGAGACAAAAGTTGAACTTTTAACTTGTGTTATCTTTGACTAATGGTTAAATGTGTTTGATAATCAGAAACATTTTGTGACAAACATGCAAAAGAATAAGAAATCAGGAAGGGGCAAATAGTTTTTCACTCCACTGTATTTCGGCGACCTGGCCAGCTGCAGGCAGTTCATTCGGGACTGTGCTCGTTGCCTTGACCTGGCTTTCTCTGAGTTTGACAAGGTCTCCTACATGGTGCTCTGTTTGGGAGGAAAAGCTCTGCAGTGGGCAACTTTCTACTTCGAGCAGTACCCTATAAGAACGGTTTCCTTTTGGGCCTTTGCTAAGGAGCTTCAAGAAACTTTTTGCTACCCGCAATCACCTGCCGTTCTCACCACCCCACCTTCATCTGGTCCTGGCAGCGCCACCTCCTCATCTCTGGTGGGCTGTCATTCGTCATCATCCTCTGGTTCAGCCTGTGCCATCCCTACATCTCTGATGGGCCGAACCACTCCACCGTTGTCTGGTCCAAGCAGCGCCACCTCCTCGTCTCGGGAGGGCTGTCGTCCCTGATCGTCCTCTGGTTCAGCCGGTGCCATCTCGGCACCTCTGATGGGCCGAACCACCACACCTTCATCTGGTCCAGACAGCGCTACCTCCTCATCTCTGGTGGGCTGTCACTCATCTTCCTCTATTGCTACCGGCGCCATCTCTGCACCTCTGATGGGCCGAACCTCCTCTTGTCGAAGACGTCGCAACCATAGCCAGAAGTCTCCTGGGGTCAGAGCAGCACCGGCTGTCTGGGTGTTTCCTGCTCTGACACCTCAGCCCGAGCTCCACCCGTCATCATTGCCAGCTCAGCCTTATCTCCTCCTCGTCCCGGAGATCAGAGCTGGTCAGCCTGTCCAAAAGGCTTTGTCTGCAGCGACTCCGCCTGTCCAAGAGGCTCCACCTGCAGCGGTTCCGCCTGTCCAAGAGGCCTCGCCTGCAGCGGTTCCGCCTGTCCAAGAGGCCCTGCCTGCAGCGGCTCCGCCTGTCAAAGAGGCTCCGCCCCCGGCCCAGCCGGTCCGAGAGTCCTCGTCTACGCCTGCAGGGTCCACCTCTGCAGGGTCTTCGTTTCCAGAGTCCACATCTCCAGAGTCCCCGTCTCCAGAGTCCCCTCCTGCAGAGTCCCCATCTCATCCTCATCCTCCAGAGTCCCCTCTTCATCCTCCTGTGTCCCCTCTTCAGCCTCCTGTATCTTCGTCCCTTCCTCCTCCTCATCCACACCCAGAGTCCCTTCCTCACCCTCACCCTCCTCCTGAGTCTTTGTCCCTTCAGCCTCCTCCAGAGTCTTTGTCCCTTCAGCCTCCTCCAGAGTCTTCGTCCCTTCTGCCTCCTCCAGAGTCTTCGTCCCTTCTGCCTCCTCCAGAGTCTTTGTCCCCTCGTCCTCCTGTGTCTTCGTCCCCTCGGCCCCCTCCAGAGTCTTTGTCCCTTCAGCCTCCCGTGTCTTTGTCCCCTCGTCCTCCTGTGTCTTCGTCCCCTCGGCCCCCAGAGTCTCCATGTCCCGGCTCCTGGTTCCCCGTCGCCGGCCTCCAAGAGGCCCCTGGTCCCTGGTTCCTCGTCCCCCTGGTGCCTCCTGGCTCCGGACTCCCTAGGTCTCTCGTCGCCCCTGTGGTCACCTGTTCTTCATCCTGTGCTTGTGTCTTGTGCTTGTCTTATGTGCATCTGGTATCCGCCCCTTGAGGAGTGGGGGTACTGTCATGTTCTGCGTCCTGCGTCCCCCTCATGTGTTCTCCAGCCCTCTATGGGATCCCCTTATGTGTCTCCTTGTGTTCCCCAGCCCACTCCAGGTTTTCCCCTTAGGTGTTCCCCTGAAGTTCCTGTGCCCCTTTAGGTCTCCAACCCCTCCAGATGTCCCTCTAGTCTTCTGTGCTCTTTTTGTTCCCCAACCCCCCCAGGTGTCCCTCTAGGATCCCCCTCA